AACAAGGAGAAGTGGTTCCTAACGGACGAAAGATATCAAACAATACACATTTTAATTCGTAATTTAAGCAGACTTTTATTTGGGGTGACAGCAATTTCGATGATAATTTATGAAGCTTCATAGTACGAAATAACTTGTATACGAAATAACTTGCCCTGGCTGTGGTAAAACCTACATCAGCATAACACAAAGATGCCTATCTGTACGGCTCAGAGAACATGCAACCAGGCTCTCTTCTAGTGCAGTTGGCCATTTCTCTGAGTTTGAAAACGCTCAATTCCTGGCTACTCTACAAAACCAGTTTTCACCAGAGCCCTCTATAATATAATATAGTATAGTATTGTTGTATTTCGACAACCTTAGCGGTAGTCATCTTCAGAGTCAAATGAGGAGTAAACGTCAGGTTAGCCGTATTTGTTATCTGGTTCTTACGTCGTTGTATTGTGTGTACAGGAAATGTGTGGGTGTAAATTGTGAATTAGTGTGAAGTAAAATATTTTTATTTTTAATAGTTGATTCGTCTGTAACAGACGTTAATCCGTGCTCGTATCAGTCGTCTACTGGTGGATTTGACAATCTGAATAGCCTCTTGTGTGTCCAACGGGGACTTAATTCTAAGTCCTGCCGGAACGAGACCAAAATCCTTGCAGCGGTGGTTGAACCAGAGTTGTTGGCGAATGCGTCTGACGTTGCTTGCAAAACGTATGTAGTCTTTAGCAAGTTTTTCGCTCTGTCGTCCAGATCATCGTAATAAAGTAAATGGTTTGAACCCGGGTATCGTTACATGTTTGTAAATGTCGATCGCCCAGGTTGGTATAGTCGGCAGGCCTTAGAATTAAGTCGTTGAACTATACAAGAGGCTATTCAGATTGTCAAATCCACCAGTAGACGACTGATGACGAGCACAGATTAACGTCTGTTACAGACGAATCAACTATTAAAATTAAAAATATTTTACTTCACACTAATTCATGTTTCAATACACATTTCCTGTACACACAATACAACGACTGAACCAATAACAAATGCAATAACCTGACGTTTACTCATTTGACTCTGATAACTTAGGTAATCGAAACGTCAGTCAACAATAACAAAAACAGTCCTTCTCAGGACTATGCCAACCTGGACAATCGACATTTACAAACATGTAACGATACTCCCGGGTTCAAACCATTTACTTCAATGATCTCTCTCCACCTCCCAGAACTCCCTCTCCTATAGAAAACCTTGTATTCAAAAACAATAAAATACTTCACTCAACCGAATCTAACAACTACCACATTCTTGTTTTTCTTGAAGCACTTCTCATCAAACACAACAAACGTTTCTAAACACGAGACTTAAGGCTAGCAAAGAATTACAACTCTTCTCCTAAATTACAATACACTCATTCTACCAATCGGATCTGTGGTTTCAATTCATCCTTTTGAAATACTACACCTCTTCCAACACTGCTTTTGTAAATATCACACTATTTAATTTCTATTGCTTACTTACGTTACTTAATTCATGCATTGTAAATATATATGTGTATGTATGGTTTTAAATATCATTCTGTCTGAGGATGACTTTGAAATAAAGTCGAAAATTTACAGTTCACTTCTTGTCTTGTTTTGATTCATATTTTGCAATCGCAAGATGACTTGCTTTTTCGAATTTGCTTTATACTATATTTCTTTAAATTGTCGACTGGTCATGGTTTTATAAATCCACGTGGCCAGTATTGTGCATGGAAAATCATGCTTTACGAAATTTTCCAACGAGTTAAAACTTTTAGCAATCACAAGAAACGTCGATAGTTGCTTCATTTGAGTAAGCTTGCACCATATACAAATTTGGATGTTGGCCATCTCAGCCAATTCAAATTTTTACCTTCAGTCATTCACAACAAATGGTATGTGTTGGGTAAAAGAAAGCATTTTTGTCAGTCCTAACATTGTACACGTTGCACTTCCGGATCTGCTAGTCTGCACGTCTATGGATTAAATTAGGCAAAACGTAAACGGGCAAATTTTCTCATTGATTGAACTGCTGTAAATAAAATCAAAAGTTTTAATAGTTACTACGTAGTTATCTCATGAAATACAAAGTTTATTACAGAAACAAATGATGCGTGCAAAATGTGCATCAAATCCACTCGATAGCTAAACAAATGCCTGTGATAATTTGGAATCATTTTCTTGTGCATTTCTCGCTCGCTGTAGTTTGATGATATTTTGGTGTCTGTATAACACATTGAGTGTGAGTGTTTTTTTAGAATACAGGTGTAAGTCTTGGTTTTGTAAGTGTTTGAAAAAAAGCATAACACTTTGTATCAACATTATTACCAAAAATTTACAGCTGAGAATGGCAAATTTGTAATAGTATCTTAGATAGACATAAGAATGGAGAGTAAAAGAAGTTCAAATTCATTCAAATTGTATGAACACAAATTTACTTTGTAAACTGTGAGAATTTTGAGCAAGCCTGTACCATATAGCATACTAATCTGGAAGTTCGTCATATCAGCCAATTCAAATTTTTACCTTCAGTCATTCACAAAAAATGGTCTGTGTTTAGTATGGATAGAAAGCAATTTTGTCATATTCCTGACTGGCTGACACTGTACTCGTTGCACTTCCGGTCTGCAATTTACACGTTCACGGATTAAATTAGGGAAAAAGTAAATTGGCAAATTTTCTCATTGATTGAACTGCTATAAATAAAATCAACAGTTTTAATACTAGCCATCTCCAGAAATACAAAGTTTATTACAGACAGCTGACACACGCAAAGTGTGCATTAATATCCACTCGATAACTAAACAAAATATAAACGCCTGTGATAATTTGGAATCATTTTCCCGTACATTCTCGCTCGTTGTAGTTTCATGCAGAGGATATATTTATTGACTACAAAAGAACACTTTATTCTTCCATGCATATAAAGTAGGCTAAAGGCTATTTTTGGATTACAAACATTAACAGTTTACAAATTTTCCATTGTCATGTCTGTTTTTAAATTTTCACTTCAATGAGCGTGCTGAAGGAAGATGATTAAGATGACAAAACAAAGGAAGAGAACAGATAAAGCTTAGCGACTCAGTAACATTATTCACAACTCAACATCGCCACATCAAGAATGGTCGGTTAAAAGAAACTACTTTCCAATCAAGAAAAAGTCATTAAGATGTTCTTCAAAACTCTCTTTTTCATTTGTTATCTTTTGGCCACGGTCCATGCAGGTAGGGTTTTTCAACTTTAGAAATTTTAGAATTTGTAGCTTGTATTGAGACTTTGAGCACTGTGTAGTGTAGAAGACGGCGTAAACTGAGGTGTAGAAAAAGCAGTGCTGACTGTTTTGTCAGTCTTCAATTTTGATTCATCACTAGTTTATAAGACAGATTTTACTGTGAAATTTAAATTTGGCATCTTATTTTGAGAAAAATGCTTACTGGTTTTGTTTCAAGTTATTTCTATACATTTTTTTCTTGCTACAAAATCTTTAAAACTTGGTTGTGCTGAAATACAAATCATCACATTAATCGAGCTGACGACTGTTTCACAATTCACATCGCTTTAATCGTCCTAATCAGGTAATAGAAGAAAAATCGTTGAGCTACAAATGCATACCTTCAGGTGAAGATGAACTTATGACAACCTATTTTACACGAATAAGTTTTTGACCTACATCAGCCCGAAGTTGTAAGTGTTAGTGTTCCATGCAATGTAGAGAACCGCGTAGAGTGCGTAATTTGCATAATTTTACAAATATGTTTACATTGCCTTTTAAAGGAAAATGGAGAACAATTGCGTGGAACAAGTGCGTTGGGGCCAAAAACAATCAATATGCTGAATTTTCATACCCAGGCCCTTCGCGGTTTATCATTGCTCTAAAGTTACATCATACCACTGGAAAGATTGGATGTGCTTCTTCAGCCAGAACCAACTGGGGCTGCTGGCAATCACACCGATTGAACATTATCATTACAGGTAAATTAATAAAAAATGATCAGCTGGAACATTTTCAAAGATAGTTTTGTTGCAAAATAGTTAACATAAAAAATCTTAATCGTCTGTCGAAGAATCATTCAAATAACTTTTGGTTAATTCAGACTTAAAACAAATGGAAGTCGATGTTCTAACACTTATTAATGACAGTATTTCTGCATATACTGAACACTTTAATACAAACAGACGATTAAACCTTTATAAGGTTGAGTAGTTCATATTTTGGGTAGCTAGTTGACTGAGTTTTATTGTTGACGCTCTCGCCCACCATTTCAAGTCATATTTAGTGAGAAAAACTGGGTAAGAATCATTAAAAGTCATACGAGGCCGAACAAGAATTACGTTTGTAATGACTTTTAAACTATCCGCGATCGCAATGTTAAAAGTCTGAATGTAGGGTAATAGTAATTGGCCAAACATTACATAAAAAGCATTTAATTTATGCGATCAATATTTCTGTTATTGAATTTCAGACACAAGAAATAAACGTATATTTCCTGCA